GGGAGCCCCTTTTCCTCCTCCTATTTTCTGGAAGTGTGATGGAACTAGGTACCTGAGAAAGAAGCTGAGGATATCAATGTTGCAGCACAAAATTCTGGATTCCTCGTTGGTTATACTTGCCTGATTGACATTCAAAGAGTGGGTAAAACTCTTCATCTGAATTGATGAATATGAGATACACATTGTGTTGCTTATATTAAAATTATCAAAATGTGTTAATGAAAATCCAACTATCCTGACTCAGTTTTAATATTTTTAAACTGACCTGTAAGTTGTAAAACAAATGTTAAATGGTAGAACTAGAAGTCTGTTTCTGTCAGGCCCTCATACCTGAAAACAGCCCATCCTGCTCCTCCAAAAATCTGAAGAGTTAGCTGCAGCAAGATTTTTATGCAATGCATTTACATGGAACAAAACCTCAGAGCAAATCATGTGATGGAAAACCCTACAGTAATCTGATTTTCAGCCAGATACTGTGTCACCCTGTGGCTAGGGAAGCAGAAAACAAATTATGTTAAATCTTAAAGGAGGAAAAAAAAAAACTCTGATCACTCCCTATGATTTAATCATCTCATTGCTTCTAGTGAAGTGCACCTGCATCATTTTATTTATTTTTACACTACATACTTAAATGCTAGACCTATTTCTAGTTAACTCCATCTCTTAAAAAAATAACAATGTATTTAATGGGCTCACCTACAGTGATGTAGGTTTAGACTTATAACATTACAAAATACATTATAGTTTTAGGATAAATAAGATAGCACCCAAAAGATTTACACAAAACACTAGAAAGAACAAACTGGCTTATGATAGTGGAACTCTAAGATGCCAAGGTCACCTTTCTTCCCAACTTTACCATTTCTACAATGTCAGCCACTTGAATGTGTGTCTGTGTGCTTTTACTAACCACTTTTGAAAAGTGACAATCAGATGAGTGTACGGCCAATCTTGGTTTTTTTAATTAAATATAAACACACACACACCTCTTTCTCTCTCTACAATACACACAGGGAGCCTGGAGTGACCTTCCCACTTTTTTTCCTATTAACAGAAAGGAGCCTCCTCCAAGCAGACTCCTTATACTGCAAGAGTCAGAACCAGCTATGACAGCTGCCTGAAGAGACTGCAGCAACCCTAAGACAATTGGGGCATATAATAGAGAGGGGTGCACCCAAAAAGGAACTAGTGCAGCACAGGGGAAGACTGCTCCTTCCAAAGAAGGAGAAATAGCAACCTTCTGACTGAAGCACCTGTGCTCCCTTCCTTTGGGAACCTGGAGAATTTTGGGTATAGGGGGAGAAAAACTCCTCCTTCACAAGAATTGAGAGAACACGGAAGAGAGGGCTGGGCAAGTGTAATCCACCACAACTGGAAACTATGGCTCCCCTGGGAATAGGAGAATCAGTCTCTCCAAAACATTCAAAAAGAAGGCATGTGTAATGCTCTAGGCGACCCCAGCCTGGGCTCCGGTCTACTAACTCCAGTCCTAAGTATAAACTTCCCAGACCTCCCACTAAAGCTGGACTACTGTGCTCCCCTCCCTGCAGACGTTTGGTCAAGGGGAAAGATGGAAGGCAGAGTCCGAGTATCCCCAGCCCAGGATCCATCTCTTTGCACTGGACAAATCCTACATGCTCAGAGAGGGATCTGTGGAGGAGATGGTGGGGAGGACAAGAGACTCGGGCCTCATCTCACCTCCCAGTGGCAGATCAGAAGTCTGCTTGGAGGGACTGCAGCAGGGCATTGGCACTAATGCAGCAGTAGGAGCATGATCAGGGATCTTGTGGCAACACTAGTAACCAGCCCACTGGGTCCACGGCAGAGCCTCACACTCACTTCTCCACTCTCTCCTATTGTTTGTGGAGAGGGCTGTTTCTTCTCCTATTGCCAGCTTCCAAATGGGGCAGTCACAAGTCAGGTCCAAAATTTACCAGACTAATCCAAGCAACCTCTCCCAATCTTGGAGACAAAGGGGGTGTTTCTTCCCCCACAACCTCCAAAACTGTCCCAAGTTTGCAGGAGAAAGACACGGGTGCTCCTGTTCAGCCCCCCACACCTTTGGTTCTTTTGGGGAGAGAAGCCTTCTCCCAAACTGCACCAGATGGTGGAGGCAAAGAGGGGAAGAACACTGCCACTGCTACGTATTACACCAGGGGTCGGCAACCATTCAGAAGTGGTGTGCCGAGTCTTCATTTATTTACTCTGATTTAAGGTTTCGTGTGCCAGTAATACATTTTAACATTTTTAGAAGGTCTCTTTCTATAAAAGTCTATAATATATAACTAAACTATTATTGTATGTAAAGTAAATAAGGTTTTTTAAATGTTTAAGAAGCTTCATTTAAAATTAAATTAAAATGCAGAGCCCCCCGGACTGGTGGCCAGGATCTGGGCAGTGTGTGTGTCACTGAAAATCAGCTCGTGTACCATAGGTTGCTTACTCCTGTATTACACGAACAGTAGATTCACTTGCATTGTCTCTGTTTTATCCTTCAGTTGACTCCTGTCACATCCTGAAAGTGTAGCCTGGGATTTTCACCAAGGGTCTAAGGGAATTAGTCACCTAACTGGCACTGAAAGTCAATTAGATATGGGCACATAACTCCCTTAGGTTCCGTTGAAAGGCCCAGCCATAAACTCTTTGGGTTACGGACCATCACAGTTGTTACATGTGTGCACAGCACAATGGTGCTGATCACTGACTGGGGCTTCGAGGTACTAATGATACACTATTTAAAATACCAAGATTCAATCCTTCAGACACTCACTTTTTTGGCAGGTGACAGCAGTAATGAGATCCACACTTTAATGTTTTATACTAATTTTTAACAAAGTTTATATAATCTAAGCTGTTAAATTTCTTACAATCTTTACAATCAAGTATGCCACTTTTGATCCAACTTTTTAACTGCACCCTGTGAAATCTAAAAACCCAACTGGCTTCTCACAATGCTGATGCAGAGGAATCTTCATCAGAAAGTGACATTAAAGACCCCTTTTAGTTCAGTGAACATGGAAACGTCTTCCAGTGTTTACAAATAAACCTCTGATCTACATTATTTTCTTTCAGTTTTCTTTAAAGGAAAGAACATAAGGCCATACTGGGTCACACCAAAGGTCCATCTAGACCAGTATCCCGTCTTCCAACAGTGGTGAATGCCAGGTGCTTCAGAGGGAATGAACAGACCAGGTAATCATCAAGTGATCCATCCCCTCTCGCCCATCCCCAGCTTCTGGCAAACAAAGGCTAGAGACCATCCCTGCCCACCCTGGCTAATAGCCACTGATGGACCTGTCCTCCATGAATTTATTTAGTTCTTTTTATGAACCCTGTTATAGTCTTGAAGTGTCAATGCTGCAATGTAACCCAAACAGAGCTAGCACATTCCCAGCTTTTTAAGCGGATCTGGATTGACTATCAGCAGATGTTAAAAACCTAGCAGGAACAGACATTTAGTTCTGTTTATCTAAACTCAAATACTCAAAAATTGTCTCAGTAAAGGTACACACATAATTAGCGGTTACATTTCTGTGGATTTAACTGTAACAGTTTGTTTTTTAAATCTATGTTTCTGCAACAGTGCTCGGTTGTTGCTGTACTTTTGAACCAGATTCATTATTAAGAACTGAGCTAAAATTTCTTGTATTTTAAAATCTCTTAGAATCAAACACTTGTAAAAGAAATTACCACGTTTTATAAATCTAATGACTAGCAAGCTCCACAGTACACAATTAAATCCACAGACTCTGTTAGAAAACATCTGGCAAAACATGAACGGTGATCAGTGCTGTAAGTTTCTCTTACAGATTTAAACCTTTTCAGCATCCAACCAGGAAGTCTGTTTATTGCACTGTGCATTTCTGGGGCATGTTTTTATATAGACGGTTAATGCACATGAATCTACAGCAAAAGCTGCATACTGCAGCTACCAGCACCCCCAGCTCAAACATTAATTTTCTAGAACATCAACTGATGGTCAACACACCACTCTCAAACTTAATATAATGTTATAAAGATTACAGGGATCCAATTATTCAAGAAATCTCAGCCCATTAGAGAAGAGGTATAAGCCATGGGCACAATGATTGGTTTGCCTTTTTGCTAAAGTGAAACTGCTTACCAAAGAGTTCCAGCTATACACTAGCACTCTGGAGAGCACTGGTGCCAATCTCACAGATCAAAACTTTATCCTTAGCAATGGACTAACTCTTCCTTATTTAGTTTTTTAAAAACAAAGGTCAATAAAAGGGACTTTATGCTTTAAGTTTAAAATATTCTGCATAAGGAGATGATCTTAGTATTTTGTAAATAAATACAGTTTAAGTGTCATGTCCCACACTTTCTCCAAAATGACACATTGTAAAAAGAAATGTGCTTAATTTTCTAAACTGTGTACCTAATTTAAATTGTACTTTCAGACATTTTTGATAAATATGAAATCACATTAACTAGTTATTTATGTTTTAATATGCAATAAAAAGATTACAGTACATGCAACAACAGAAAATATATATAAAGTGTGGTTTAATCCTGAGAGCTTCTTCAGGCCATACAAAGGAAAACATGGTATTTTTCTTCCTATAGCCTGATAAAAGACTTAAGGCCAAAATACCATCTCATATTCTATCTTCTATGCTAGGTGGAATTAGTTATTTTACACACACTGACTCAGTTCCAAATTGGTGCCTACCATATCTGAAGAGAAGAGTGCATTCTAGGAGTTAGTACACACTTATGGTTTTGAAGAATGTACCAGTGGGAAAAGCACAGTATTACATTTCTTGCTTATCAGTATATTATGCATGTAATGCAAGTATGATTAAGCTAAAATTTTCTTGTAATGCAGATCACTTAGTTTGATTGTTAGAAGTCTCCTAGAATGAGCTCTCATTTATTTCTTCATAATCGTCTCAGACTCCAAACTTTGCCAGCACTGTTCATGTTGGCCAGAATACTACACATCTTAAGGATATAACTGAGCAAAGTGGAATGCTTACCAGCAGCAACTACAGCTGGAGGAGGCGAACCTGCCTCACCACCACTTGTTTGGCTCATGGATGCTACAGATGTTTCTCTGGAGGGTGGTAACTGCAACTCCTTTGGGAGGAGGTCATAGACAGATTCTGAGAGGGAAAAAAAAGGGAGAAGAGGGGTTTAAACACAGAGATCAACTGTCATTTTTGTAAACATGGATTATATTAAAGATTTTAGTCTAGGAATATAGACCATCGATGTGGCATCTCAAGAAGCTTCATAAGAAGCTGCGTAGGCAAATTTCTTGGAGATCACTGACCCATAGAATCAAGTTGATTTTAAAAAAATTAAACTTAAAATATACAAGTTTTCAAGACTGAGCAAATTTGCATTTTCCCTTTCAAGGCACAGAGTGACCATCTATGAACCTGCAACACATATGGGTGCCTTTGAAACAACGCAGACGATGAAACCCAGAACAAAGTACCTGAGATCTGGAGACAAAACTACTCTCAGTATTCAAGCAGTGGAAATAGCTTCCAATGGAGAACAGACTAATATTCAGGAAATAATGTAAAACCTTCCTATTTAATAATTTTTTTCACCATAACCAGAATGATGGTCACAACATATATCACCCCTTCCCTCCCCCCCGCTGCCAAAAAAAGAAAAAAAAATACCCCAAACAAAGATTCTATAAACTGAAAAGATATCAGAAAAGAGCCAGAACCCGCTAGAGATGCTGTTTTATGTGGAAGGCCCTCAGACTCTACGGTAATGTATGGCAGAATAAATAATAAGTATTTTTGTGAATGTATCTGTTGTAAAACAGTTATGGCTGCTACACACGACATGCCTGACACAAAACCACAACAGCAAAGTTTAAGATGTTAAGTCACCTAACACCAAATTCACTCTGCTTTTCCACATTTACTGCTGATTCAAAGGTAAACTATTCTCCTGTAATCACAATTATTTAAAATGAGCCCCATAATAAAAGCTGCCACTGCATTCAGACAATAAGAATATGCCATCAATCTACTTTACAGTATATTTATTAGCACATTTTGTAAAGCTAGAATCATGGGTCTTTAGTAAGATATTAACACACAAGTATGGAGCAAACTCTACAAAGGTGATGCACAAATGCATATCATTACTGTTTCATGCACCCAATTTAGGCGTACAAATACTCTGATGTACACATGCAAATGCGATTTACATGTGCATTCCAAAATGCCAGAAAAACCTTGTCTTCACCTGTATCAGGATACTTATATGCCTAAGCCAGATATGTGCAAAATTCTATATGCATTATTGAAAAATTGTCTGACAACAATCATGCTGTCCAATCAAACCTAAAGTAATCAAGACTTGCACAGCATTTCTTCTGTAAGAGGAACTTCATTTAACTATGAAAGTACAGTCAGGCTGACAATGCAACTGACTAAAAACCTCTATCCAGAGTCAATTCTATAATGAATGGCATACATAGATGTTCAAGACAAAAAAATTTGGGAAATCTAACCCTGAATAACTATAAGACATGTATAGCAATTGCTTATCATGTCCTCAACCTCAGAAGCTCACTAAATGGGGCAGAATGAAGAAACTCCTACTAATTATTTGGATAGTAAATGGCCTGTGAATAAGAAAGTTACTTATCTTCATAATTGGAGGTTCTTGGAGATATGTAGTCCCTATCTGTATTCCGCTGTGGATACGGATGCGCTCCATGCACCTGGAGCCACAGAATCTTGAAAGCAGCGTCTGTTGGGCCACGCATTTGCCCTTGCTTTCCTAGTGCTTCCAACCAAAGAAACAAAGGGTGGGGTGGACCAACAGCCTCCCCAATTCTTTCAATACCGTGAATCCAAAGATGGTCCAAAGGAGACAGGAAGGACGACAGGTAGTAGAATACAGCTAGGGAACATACATGTAGAAAATCCTCCAGTTATGAAGGTAAGTAACTTTCTTTTTTTCTTCGAATGCTGGTCCCAATGTGTATTCCACTGTGGGTGACTGACAAGCAGTACTCATATAGGAGGGTGTGAAGAGGCAGGTGGCAGACCTGTTTGAAGAACTGTCATTCCAAAGGATGAGTCAATGAAAGAGTCGGTCTTAAAGCATAATGCCTCGCAAACATGTGGATGGAACTTCACACAGCTGCTTTGCAACTGTCAGAGGCACATCTTGAAGCGATGCCATTAACGTCATGTGTGTTTTCAGGAATGAGCCCTCACGCTCAGGAGGGTGAGGAAGATTAGACAGCTGATAGCAAAGTAAAATACAGCCCAAGATCCGTTTAGATATTCTATGAGAGGATATACCTTGACCTCAAACTTTTTCTGCTATGGAGATAAACAGTCTGGGAGATTTTCTGATTGATATTAACAACAAGGAGTCTGGTGGCACCTTAAAGACTAACAGATTTATTTGGGCATAAGCTTTTGTGGGTAAAAACCTCACTTCTTCAGATGCATAGCAAATAAATCTGTTAGTCTTTAAGGTGCCACCAGACTCCTTGTTGTTTTTGTAGATACAGACTAACACGGCTACCCTCTGATTGATATTGTTCTTTGCAGGTAAACAGCTAATGTTCAGCACACGTCGAGGAATGAAGCTTCCTCTCTTCTGCAGATGTGTGGGGTTTTGGAAAGAATACGTTAAGTGAACTTGACTGGTTCAGCTGAAATTACTCTGGGTGTGAACCTAGTGTAGCCTTTTATTTTATTTAACGTGAATTATGTAATGTGGTATTATACCACTGGGGGTTCAGTTCTGGTAGCTACAGTTTCAAGCTTAACAGAGTGAAAGTCACATCTGCTACTTGCTTCAGAGTTAGTCTCTCTAGGAACACAAAGATCAAAGGTAGTGACCACACATACCTTCACAAGTACAAGGTCTAGTCTATTTTACAAGTTTATTAAAGTTACAATTAAAGTTATGATTACCCAAGCATATAGAAATTCTATACAGACCTAGGCACAAGTTACAAATATAGTTATAAGAACATAACATAAGAACAAGCATACTGGATCAGACCAAAGGTCCATCTAGCCCAGTATCCTGTCTTCTGACAGTGGCCAGTGACAGGTGCCCCAGAGGGAATGAACAGGTCATCATCAAGTGATCCATCCCCTATCGCCCATTCCCAGCTTCTGGCAAACAGAGGCTAGGGACTCACAACCTTAACAACAGTGTCAGGGTCTGATGGGTCTCTCATGGCTTGATCATCAGTAGAGGTATGGTGGAGTCTCCCATAGGGAGCTCAAATATTCCCGTTCTAGGCATCCCCTTTTTATAATGTGATTCTGTCTATACCTACATTCAGCACACGTCCATAAAAATGTCAACTCTCTTTTCCCTTATTGGTCTGGGTCCCCTGGAAACTTAAGGATCCCCCAATTTTCTATAGACTGTGTAAATTCCTTTATTCTCATTAACATTGACGCACAACCTGTATACTGTGGTTAAGACATGTCGGAGACATGCGCCTTTACAGTACTTTTATGATGTAATATTAATCTTCTGAGTAATTTTTCACAATCGTACCTCTTTTCCCATAATCTTAGGGCATCGGATTATTTTCTGGTCACTTATGTCATCATTTCTTGTCTCCAAGTCCTAAAATAGCTAAGCTAAAAGTCTTGCAGGCCTCAACCTACAGGTTCTTGTGTTTCAGCTGGTCTTACTCGTGTCTAATACTTGGTTCCTCTAAATACTGATCAATCTTATACTTTTATAATCCTACAAATTAACTCTAATTAACATACAATGAATATATGTAATATAACATTGATTAATCATATCACATAATAAATGGATAATAAACTAAAATCATTGGCTACACCAGGATGTAAGTGCAAAGAGCCCGTCTCTATATGGACTATAGCGTAAGGTGTATCTGCCATCAGAGATGAGCTAAGTAGCATTTTCTAGTGGAATCCTTTCTACTATTAATAAGGATGCTTTGTACAGCTTCAGAGTATGAATGTTCTAGAATTGATGCCAATTCAAAAACCACGCTCTGAGATGGAATGGTTGAGGATTGGGATATCTGATTTTGCCCTTCCCATGGATCAGAAAAAAGGTGAATGTTGACTGGTGACTGAGATGACTTACATAGGAGACTTGGGAACCAAAACTGTTTGGGTCAGTTAGGGGTGATGAGTATGACTTGTGTCCTGTCTTGATGAGTCTTCCATAAGACCCAAGGTAGGAGGGGTAACAGAAGGAAGGCATAGTTCAGATGGTCTGGCCATGGAAAAAGTACAGCATCACCCTGAGAGTGACATGTTAGGGCTCCTCCAGAGCAGTATATACACCTCTACCCCGATATAACGCTACCTGATATAATGCGGGTTCGCATACCACGTGGTAAAGCTCTGACACGCTGCTCTGAGCAGCGTGTTAAGGGTGCCGGGCCGGGGCTGGGCCGAGGGGTTGGATAAGAGGCAGAGGGTCTCGGGGGCAGTCAGGGGATTACCCCCCAGGGTCTGGGAGGCAGGAGCTGTGGGGGGGGCACTTTTGGGGGCCCCACAGGTCCAGAGTGGCCCGGGGGATTAGCGGGGGGACTGGGAGCAGCCTGCTCTGCTTCCCTCCGCCCCGGCCCCAGCCGTGTCACTCGAGGGAGGGGGCTTGGGGGAAGGGATCCCCCCGCACTCACCGGCAGAAGCAGAGCAGCCTGGCCCCAGCCCACTCCCTCCGCCAGCTCCCAGCCGCGGTGCTCCACTTCCCGCCGCAGGTGAGTACAGGGGGTGTCCTTTCCCCAACCTCCCTGCACTCATCGGCGGCGGGAAGCGGAGCACCGCGGCTGGGAGGTGGCGGAGTGAAGCAGGCTGGGGCCACGTTGCTCTGCTTCCCGCCGCTGCCAGTGAATGCCTGTCAGTGGGGCGGGGGGTGTGGATAGGGGTCGAAGTAGTCAGGGGACAGGGAGCAGGGGGGTTGGATAGGGGGTGGGGTCCTGGGGGTGATTAGGGATGGGGGTCTCTGGAGGAGGTGGTCAGAGAACAAGGGGGGGCCAAAGCAAGTTCGATATAACGTGGTCTCACCTATAACACGGTGAGATTTTTTGTCTCCCGAGGACTGCATTATATCAGGATAGAGGTGTATTGCACTTCCTGTTTGTCTAACAGGCAAATAGGTC